TGCTTTCGGCGCCAGTGCTTCCGCAAAGAGGCCGAGCCGTCTTGCAGTACAGGAACACCCTGGTTTAGGCTTTTAGGGCCTACACCCTGAAGTCTGGAACTCCCTAAACCCCAAGCCCAAGCCCTAAACCCTAAACCCTAAACCCTAAACCCTAAACCCTAAACCCTAAGAAACCCTAAACCCTAAACCCTAAACCCTAAACCCTAAACCCTAAACCCTAAACCCTAAACCCTAAACCCTAAACCCTAAACCCTAAACCCTAAACCCTAAACCCTAAACCCTAAACCCTAAACCCAAACCCTAAACCCTAAACCCCCAAAAACCCTAAACCTTGAAGTCGCAAGACTGGGGTGATGTCAGGAATGGGAAGGTGTGGTGCCCACATGACTGAGTAGCTGAGTGAGCACACTTTACGCTTTTTGGGATACTAAAATTCCCTCTAGAACTGAAAGTGTACGCTTTTTGGGATGCTAAAATTCCCTATGGAACTGAAAGTGTACACTTTTGGGGGGGCTTATGGACTCAGCAACTAAGATGATGAGAACAGCCCTTGCAGCAATTCGGCTCCCCGCAAGAAGGCTCTTGCTTTGTTTGTCTAACTCCTCATTTGCTGTAGGTTTAGTATCTAGGGTGGGTTTAGGATTCAGGGTTCAGGGTTTAGGGTAAGCTACCCAAAGAAAACACTCCAGAAGACATTGGCACTGTACCCTACCTACCTGCGTGACGTCTGGGCTTGGGGTTGAGCTCGGCCCTGCAACTCCTTCAGCCCCGAAGCCTCGTAGATCCCAAGCCTTCTGCAAGCCCTAAACCCTAAACCCTAAACCCTAAACCCTAAACCCTAAACCCTAAACCCTAAGGAACCCCAAGGGAACGCTTCGACTTAGATGCCCCGAACCCCAAAATCCCTCCTCACTTAGCTCCGGCCCCTTGCATTTACTGTAGCCACTTCGATATATGGCTGATTCCTTATCTCCAAAGGCTCGACGCCACAAACCCGAATGAACCCAAAGATGAGCAGAGTTCTGTAAATGATGGTCCATCTTGGTGATTTTCCCGACAAGGGATCATCATTTTCGAGACTCATGCCACCCTGCTGTGATGTGAAAGCGACTGAGAGGCCGACGGCACAACACGAGCGCGGGAGCTTCTCTGCGTGGCCGCCGGACTGCTGGGACCCTGCAGGCATCGTCGAGGATGTGGCAGCTCCTTGGCAAAGGGTGTACCTGTGAGTCCCAAACCCTCTAAATTGGTAGGTGATAACTCCCGAAACTAGGGTATGACCCTAAAAAAAGAAGGCAAGTGAGGCCCCAGGTAAGCTTTGCGGTTGAACGTGTAGAAAAGCGGGTTTCAGGGTTCAGGCTTCGGGGTTAGAGGTTGGGTTGAGGGTCTAGGGTTTAGGGCATGGGGGAACCCACTGCCCCACAATTCAGAAGTCGACCTTTGAAACCATGCAGGGGGTTCTCCGGGTTTTCCAAAACCCTCAACCCTCGACCTTACACCTTGAGGGTTTCTTACAGGCGGTTCCTGCACTCCCTTCTCCGGTCAAGAAGGCCATATGTAGGAGCAGGAAAGGTTAAGGTTTTCAAGGTTTAGGGTTTAGGGTTTAGGGTTTAGGGTTTAGGGTTACAAAAAAAAGTCCACGCGGGGCGACTCAGGATCCATCCGCCAGGCCTCCCTGGGGGACTTCTGGAGTCGAAGAGACCCATCCTGGCTGAGGGATCTGCAACCGGAGAGCGACACACACGCACCTGCAGCGGCAGAGAGGGGAGCAAGAAAACCTGCAATAGTAGGGTAACATATATATATATATATATTTGTATGTATATATATAGTATATTTCTATATGTATTTGTATAGATGGGAGAATTTGGTGTGCCTCTCTTGACACAGGTAAACCTGCCTGTGACCGCCCCCCAAAACGTTGCAATGCGCGTTCCTGGTGAGTGTGTGAGTAAGCCCTCAAGCCCTTGAGGGGGCTGCGCGATTCTCTTCAGGATCCAGTGGAGTGTAAGGGAGAGGGTGTAAGGGCCCATAGTGTGGGCGCTTAAACCGCCCTCCCTAGACCCGTAAAAAACCCCTAAATCCCTAAACCCTTAACACCTCTAAACCCCTTAATCCTCTCGTTCTTATCTTTACTTGGGGAATTTTGGAAAAAAAAACAATCTGGTACTACAATTCCTAAGAAACAGCAATCAACAGTGTAAGTGTTGCTCGGGTTCCGAGGGTTCAGGGCATGGCTTGAGGGGGGATGTTGGGGACTTGTCCTGGCCGGTACTTCGGGCTCAGGGCCTTGGAGTTGCCCTAAACCCTAAACCCTAAACCCTAAACCCTAAACCCTAAACCCTAAACCCTAAACCCTAAACCCTAAACCCTAAACATGCACAGGAGTCTTAGGGCTGGGAGGGCTTGGAGTTGCGCGAACTTTTAGGTTTCGAGATTGCGGGCTCACTGCCAGAAGCAGCTGGCAGTGCGGCGCCCGATTTTTGTGGGGTGTAGGGTCTAGGGTTTAGGGTTTAGGGTTTAGGGTTTAGGGTTTAGGGTTTAGGGTTTAGGGTTTAGGGTTGCGGAAAGCATCCCACCCCCCCCCTCCCCCAGCCAGCCCTCCCTGGGCCCCACCCAAGGTGGACTCTACGCTGTCCCGACCGGTCCACTCTGGACATTACGTCCCCGTGCGCCCGGAAGCGCTGCCGGATCCTGAGGTCGTCGCGGTGTCGGAGCGCCTCGCTCAGGGGTTTAGGGTGTAGGGTGTGGGGTTAAGGGTCTGGGGTCTAGGGTTTAGGGGTTAGGGCTTAATTAGGGTTGAGTTAACTCCTCAAACTGTCGGTAGTGAGCACTGAAGCAAGGAGCATGTGCGACGAGCTTGGCATTCAGCTCAACGAGACCGACACTGCAGACTTCTTGGACATCTTCTCTGGAAACTGGGATCCGAAAATGGACCTGAGCGCGTGGGCCACGCCCTACGGCGCATCTGCTGCTTGCTTCGCAAAAGAAAGAGAAGTTTTTCAACTTCTGGCATGCTGAACATTGCAGCCTCAACCCGAGCCCCTCTAAATCATCCTGGAAACCTCAGACCCCCTCTACACCTTAAACCATAATGCCTAAGCCAACCCCGAACCCCAGACCCAGTTCAGGGTTCCAAGGCTTAGGGCAGTCCTGGGTGAACAAACAAAAAGTAGTTTAGGCCAACCCCAAACCCCTAAACCCCAAACCCCCAAACCCTAAACCCTAAACCCTAAACCCCAAACCCCTAAACCCCAAACCCCCAAACCCGAAACCCCACAGAGAAGACAGGTCAATGGGAGCTTCTCCGCTGATTCGCCCTTCGGCCCCTCGGGCCTCTCGCTTGCGCTGTGTGGGTTTGCCCTCCGAACCCTGAGCCTTATACATCCTAAATGCACTAAGTATATACTTTTCTCCAGTGTTATATATTGTCGTATAGTAAATATAAATAAAAAAATATATATATATATATATATATATATACATTATATATATATATATATATATATGTATACTCCCCTTTTGTTACATAGCCAACCTGTGGACCCCAAAAATTCCATACACACAACCCTGAACCCTGAACCCCACGTTTAGGGTTTAGGGCTTATAGGGTTTCGGGTTTAGGGTTTATGGCTTATGGTTTCGGGTTTCGGGATTAGGCTATGGCGACGGCCGGGCGATGTCCATCGGCCACTTTGAGGGCTCTGCCCGATCCTGGGACCTACAGCTGAAGGGCGCCGGAAGAGCCTTGGCCAGGATTGGCTGGTTCGGGTTGAGGGTTGAGGGTTTAGGGTTTAGGGCTTAGGGCTTAGGGCTTAGGGTTTCCTCAGAGAGCCCGGGTTCAAAAAAGGCTTTAGGGTTTAGGGTTTATTTAGGGTTTAGGGCTAGAAGAATTCGTTGTAAAGGCACGAAGAATGCGCAATGACCGCGCATGTTAGAACCGTTAGAAGGTCAAGAAGATAAGAAGAGACGGTGGTAGCTCAGCATGAAGAATCGCACTTAGGGAGTTGAAGGCTGAAGATTTTGAGGGTTCAACTTTATTGGGATACTTTGTGAGGGGGGATAGGGAGGAGGAGGAGGAGGAGGCTGAGGGTTTGGGTTTATTTGGGGCGGGCGCGGGGTTCAGAGTGGATATACCCTAACACACTAAACCCTGAGCCCTAAAGTGAAAAAGAATGCCCGTGAAAAGCGGCCCAGGAACACCCTTCTCCCGGAACTTCGACGGCCGCGCCGTCTTGCGATCCAGTGTGCGGGAGTTCCTGGCCAGCGAGGCGATGGCTGCCCTCGGCGGGGGGTTGCGCAACAAAGGGTACTTTTTCTTTGGGGGGGGAAGGGGGGAGGGCGGGGGGGGGGGGGCAAAGTATCGGTATTCTAGTAATTACAGCGAGACCTTAACACCCCACACGTTTTACTCCGGCACCCGAAGCCCATCCTGTCAGGTGTCCCTACGACCCGCTCGCTGTCACTGGTCGCATCGGCCCGGCGCGTCACACGCCCATGGCACCCAGACTGGGCAAGAGAGCTAGGTTGTTTGTTTAAGGTTAACCCTAATCCCTAAACCCTAAACTCTAAACCCTATAGGGTTCAGGGTTTCGAATATACTATAGGGTAGGCCGCGGTCCTTGGACGCCGGCCTTGCGACTCCGCAATGTTCAGATTCAAACTCTACATGGCCGTTACCCCACAGCACCTCTGCACTCTGCAGGTTGAGCCCTGATACAAGAAGTGCCTTGCTGCCCGAGCGCTGAACAGAGGTACCTACCTCCCAGCCTCTCTTCACCCGCCGGGCCGCACCCGCCCAGCTGCAGCCAGGAGGATCGCAAAAGCAAGTGAATGGTGCAGGGGAGTTTTGGGGGGGAGGAGGGGTTGTGTCAGAAGCTCGTCTGCTCTGCGTTCACTTTGTTCTGTGGAGTTGGTGGTTGCTTTGTCATTTTCGCTTTGAGAAATCCCTGCTCTCGTTTTTATCAGACTCCCTCCTCCTCCCGCCCCTGAAGGAGCGCATGGCTGTGCTATGCCGCTGCTCGCCCTCCTTCTGGCGCGTGGGCCACGTGGAGCTTTTCGCGCAGCGTGGGACGAGCGAGCTCAACGACTTGCTTTGGCACCTGGTAGCTGAGCTTCTCTTGCGTGCTACCTTTTTTTCATGCCGAACTGTTTAAACAAGATCATATCATGCGTACAATTCCTGCTTTCAGATAATACCATGATTGATATTCTTGTTTTCATGGAAGCTTGGGAGGCTTCTATGAACAATACCTATAGGTCAAGCACGACTACCCGCAGCTGGCGTCGAGTCGGCTATCCGATTGTATAGTGGCCCTGTTTGACGACTTCCTCTCGAAACAGGCTGAGTTGGTGGCCGAGTGGATGAGGGTTGGGTACTTGGAGGGCATTCATAACCCCAATTATAAGTACAGTCATGACCTACTTAGCGGACTTAGGGAGATTACAAGTGCAGTTCTAATTGGGGTTATAAGTGCCCTGAACCCTCCAGGTATGTGCACGGAAACATGAACTCAGACAACTGCCTGCTCTGCGGCCGAACGCTTGACTATGGCCCGTTTGCATTTCTCGCGTCCTGCCGCGAACTTCAGCAGTTTTTGGCAGTTTTGGCACATGAGAATAGCCTTTTCGGCATGAATCCGTTGCGTTCCTGAAGCAGCATTCTTTAGCAGATTTGTGCATGCACACCTCGAGACTCGAGACCAAACCTCACCGTAGCCTCAAACACTTGGTTTCCCCAAATCCCCAAGAGTCCTAAACCCCAAACCCTCCCTGCAACCCTAAACCCTACACCCTAAACCTAAATCCTAAACCCCAGCCTCCACCACGTCCTTTGTTTCCTGGCAAGGAGCGATTCGAACCGCGCTTCCAACCTTTCACATCAGACAAAGCGGGAAGCTGTGCCTCAAGGTTTAGGGTTTTTTAGGGTTAAGGGATTTCTAGGGTTCAGGGATTTTTAGGGTTCAGGGATTTTTAGGGTTCAGGGATTCTTAGGGTTTAGGGATGTTTAGGGTTTAAGTTTCCTCGCTAGGTGTGAGCGGAATCGTACTGGCAAGTAAAATCACCTCATGGCCACACAGTCCTGGACTTTTCACGGTAAAGATATCAGTGATTCTAAGCACTGGGCTTGGTAAAACATGTCTCAAAGGTCTGACTTGAGTGTGAGGTGTTATTTATGGCTTCGAGGGGTTGGGGTTGCGCTGATGGTCTCGCGTGGCGAGCAGTTGCTGGTAGCAGATCGTAATCCGGGGTGCCTACCTAACCCTAAACCCTAAACCCTAAACCCTAAACCCTAAACCCCCTGTCAACGAAGAGAATGACTGAAAGGCAGTAAAGGATCTCGAGTTCAGGATGCTAGCCGGGCATGAAGGGCGAACGGGGAAGGGTCGAGCACTGTCGCACAGACATTGAGTAAAGTTGTAGAGGTCTTGCAGGTGTTTCTATGGTAGGGCCCACTGAACGGAACTGTTTGCCACGGTTGTCCTTTGTATGTCATGGTGCGCTGAACCTGAGTGCGAGTGGGCTTTGCAGAGTAGTTATCGTTGGTATTCCTCCTGCGCCATCCTACAGGAAGATGATGAAGCATTTCATTCGTGGGGCGTCTTCCACCTTAGTCTCGAGAGCCTGTATGTGGGGCGTAGGGATCGCGAAGCCCGGCCCTTGCCTTAGGAAACTACTGCTACGAACGCCAGCCCGCCGCCACTGCCGCCAACGCCCCGCGGCAGGAGTCAAGATATAAAATCGTCGCACTGGGGGCGTGTTTTTGATCCAAAGAAGATGGCGACTCCGGGGTATCACCCTAAACCCTAAACCCTTTTCCCAACACTTCTCCGATTTAGGAGCGGTTCCAATAGTTTCCAGTTGTTCCAAATTCTGCAGTTTCAGAAAGCTCTGAGGCCGAACATGGTTCTTCTTGTTTAGGGCAATGGCCCCCTGGTTCTTAGTAGGGAATGAGGGAATGAGTGCCCTGTATAATCCCTTAAAGGGTATATCCCTCATTCCCTACTAAGAACCAGCCAGATGAGTGTTTCTCGTGTCATTACAGTTATGTCGTTTTTGTATCTTGGTACATGTCTATATCCGTTGTAATTGTTATACTTAGAATATTATTATGGGCGTGTGTGTGTGTGAGCGTCCTTTTTTGTGGCCTATGACTTTTTCGATGTCCCAACTTGCTCACAGAGAGTGATGAGATGAGACTTTGCCTCTTGAAGTCCCAAAGAAGTTTAGTTGGAGGCCGTGTGTGGAAATCATTTTCTTCTTTCGGCGGACTTTGAAAAGTAAGCTTTCCCTGAACACTCCACCTACCACCAGCAACTTAAACCCATGCCTCCCAAAAGTCAATACTTAGCCCCCTCACCTTCCAAACAAAGGAAGGAAATCTCAGAAGCTGTAATTACCTGTGACCAAAAGGCCCGTGTATTGGCCGAGTCGCTGCCTAGTGGCCTCACGGGCGTTGAGCGGACGGACTCGCTGGGAAGCTGAGGGTTCAAGGTGTAGGGTTTAGATGGATTGAAGATGGGTTTAGATGGCGGTTTGCATGGGTTGGGATGGGGTTTGGTTTAGATGGGCTTAGATGGGTTTCCAGCGGTTTAGATGTGGGTTTAGATGAATTCAGACGCCCGACCCTACTTGCTTAAAGAACCGCAACAAAGCAGGATAAGGAAGAATATTGTCATTTTGTTTGGGGCTTCTCAAGCAAGTAGTCAAGCACCAGTCTTGAAGCCTTGGTTGCGGTTGTAAACCCAATGAGATCCTGCCGGACTCACCTTAACCGCCCTCCCTCCTTTCATTTGTATAAAAATAAAATGAAATCAAAAGCACAACCAACCATTAGATAAGCACATTTGGGGAGTCATTTCGGTGCCAGAATTTCCTGGCAAGGAACCCCACCCGTCCTCCACAGACACCGGGGCTCAGAAAGCGCTAAACTGAGCAACTATGTGACATGTGCTTCCTTGTAGAATCTCAGAACTCTGGATACACCTTTTCAAGGGAGGGAGGGGGGGGGGGGGGCAGGGCGGGCCAAGAAATCATCACCGCAACAAGGACTCCTGTCACAAAAGGCAAACTTGTTGAAGCCCAAGCCGGAAAGGGTGGTTCCAATAAGAGGACTGCCAACATCAGCTACAGCAGCTGCTCAGCGAGTTTGAGAAGAGATTCGAGCAGGCCTCTTCCCATGTTTTTACTCAAAACCTAAGCCCCAAGCGGGCTCGGAGTGCAACTCTAAGGTTCAAACAGACAACTGCTCGGTGAAAGGAAGCTGCATGGCGTTTTTGTGAAATCTCGGGCACGCCCCCCAAACCCCAAACCCTGAGGCCTGAGCCCCAAAGTTAAAAGGTTTCGTGTTTAGGGTTTAGGGTGAAAACCCTAAAACCCGAAACCCGAAACCCTAAACCCTAAACCCTAAACCCTAAACCCTAAACCCTAAACCCTAAACCCTAAACCCTAAACCCTAAACCCTAAACCCTAAACCGATTCGGGGCCCCGATGCGCAGGCGCACGCGGAGCGCTGCCGGCGCAAGCTGGGCTTCCAAACCTGGGATTCCAAGGTTGCGGCCTTGGTCGGAAGCTTTCAGATGGGGGCTTAGGGTTGAGGGTTTAGGGTTGGAAGCTTTCAGATGGGGGTTTAGGGTTTCGGGTTTAGGGTTTGGGGTTTTGGGTTCAGGGTTTAGGGTTGAGGGTTAAGGGTTTAGGGTTCTTCGGTTTATCGGTTTTAGGGTTTTACGGTTTCGGGCTTGGTCGGAAGCTTTGACCTGATGTTTTCACGTGTGCACCGGCTGCCTGAAAAGCCTGCACCCTACAAGCCTTGCAAACCCCATACCCTACACCCTAAACCCTAAACCCCAAACCCCAAACCCCAAACCCTAAACCCTAGAACCCTAAGCTTGGCAGGCCCTTGGGACATTGTGCATTTGCCCTTATTGTAGGAGGATCATGTTCAGGAATGCTTTTCAGAGGGGTTTTAAGCGCATCCTAGCAAACCTTAAACCCTAGAGCCAGAACCCTAAACCTTAAACCCTAAACCCTACAAGCCTTGCAAGCACTTAACCCTAAACCTAAAACCGTAAACCCTATAACCCTAGACCTCAACCCTGAAATCTAAACCCTAATCCTTAGACCCCAAAGCCAAAACCCTAAACCTTAAACCCTAAACCTCAAACCTTAAACTCTAAACCCTAAGCCTTGAACCCTAAAGCCAGAACCCTAGACCTTAAACCCTAAACCCTACATAGCTTCAAGGCGGAGACCCTGTGGCGAGATCTACTGGACGGTTTAGGGTTTAGGGTTTGGGGGTTAGGGTTTAGGCTTTAGGCTTTAGGCTTTAGGCTTTAGGCTTTAGGCTTTAGGCTTTAGGCTTTAGGCTTTAGGCTTTAGGCTTTAGGGATTAGGGTTTAGGGTTTAGGGTTTAGGGTTTAGGGTTTAGGGTTTAGGGTGAAAAGCCTGCTGCGAGGAGTTGATGGCGAAGACGGGCGCAGACTTCACCATCCTCTTCCGGCTCTTGTGCCATGCCGACCCGTTGGCTGAATGGGGTTTAGGGCTTGCGTAGGGCCTCGCGCTTAGGGCTTAGGACGTAGGGCTTAGGGTTTTAGGGGCTAGGGACTGAATCCTGACCACGGACCCCAAACACACCCTGCAGCCCTGAGATCTGCACACCCTTTGGTGTCGCTTCGACATCGCATCAACATCCCTAAAGCCCTAGACCTCTAAAAGCCCAAACCCAAAAAACTCAAGACCCTAAACCCTAAGCTCCACGAGCTCAACGTGCTGAGGATGCGTCAACTCCGGACGTCGCACAGCTTCGCCAAGCATTTCTTGAAGCACGGGCCCTGGCAACCAGCGTTGAAGAGTTCACCGGTTCCCTCATGAGCACATCCTTGCACCTTGAACCCTTAGACCCCTGAAACCCTACTCAACAGGACCCTCGCGTGGACCAAAGCACTAGGCCGAACAAAAACCCAGCTCTTTATTTTAGAGGGTTCGTGCGTGCGCGGGCGGCATGACAAACTTGTTCTCAAGCGCCCTGAAGTTCAAGGTTGAGTCTTGGCGAAAGTCACCAACTGCACCCAACACTGCACAGGTAGAACATGTGGAACTCACGTTGCCATGCCCAACTTGCACATCATCGCGCAGATGAGTTGGTTGGGTAGCTGGGGGGTCTGGCGAGGGGAGGGGGGGGGGGGAGGGCGGGCCAAATAACAGCGCGCAGGTGGGCTAACTTAATGTGCTTCTGGAGTGCGTTCCAGTCACACGGTTTCTATTCATGGAGGCTTCGATCATGGGTGCTTCGAGGCTAATTCCCTTCAAAGATACCCTGAACTAGGTGGGGCTTTATCACTGTATAAGTTTTGGGTTCCTCTAATTTCACATTAAGGGAAGTAAACCCTAAACCCTAAACCCTGCACCCTAAACCTTAAACCCTAAACCCTAAACCCTAAACCAAGTGAAGATCCAGTTGAAAGCGACCAGAGGCTCCTAGCGGTGAAGGCCAGCGTTCTTGGACGATGCGT